CGCCATTGCGCTCGGTTTTGTGTCATGTCCTCCGTTAGATCCAAGTACTCAAGTCTTTTCTTAGGGTCTCTTCCAAAGTTTTCCTAGGTCTTCCTCTACCCCTTCGGCCCTGAACCTCTGTCCCGTAGTCACATTTTCGAACCGGAGCATCAGTAGGCCTTCTTTGCACATGTCCAAACCACCGGAACCGATTTTCTCTCATATTTCCTTCAATTTTGGCTACTCCTACTTTACCTCGGATATCCTCATTCCCCAATCTTATCCTTTATCGTGTGCCCATACATCCCACGAAGCATCCTCATCTCCGCTACACCCATTTTTGTGTACGTGTTGATGCTTCACCGCCCAACATTCTGTGCCATATACAACATCGCTGGCCTTATTGCCGTCCTATAAAATTTTCCCTTGAGCTTCAGTGGCCTACTGACGGTCACACAACACGCCGGATGCACTTTTACTATCTTCATCCATCCAGCTTGTATTCTATGGTTGAGATCTCCATCTAATTCTCCGTTCTCTTGCAAGATAGATCCTAGGTAGCGAAAACGGTCACTTTTTATGATCTTCGCTAGATTGCTCCTCAGTCATGTAGTGGGATAATAATAAAAGATAGAGATAGGAAAGCAAACACAAGATGTACGTGGTTCTCACCCAGATTGGCTAGGAAAGAGGTTTCTCATTAATGTGAAGGGTTTACACAAGTACATAGTGTTCAAGCTCTCCTTTAGTGTGAGTGTATATTGTGTTTAAATAGGTTGTAAAAAGTATGTTGTGATTCAAGTATACTCTCTTAACATGTACTATATCCAGTGTTGTGACTCAGTTTCCTAATATTTTCTTTGCGGATAATATAATCACAAGCAGGAATTTCCCGAATTTTCCTTTCTCTATATCTTCATATTATAGCATCTTAGCAAAAAAGGAAAATATAGGGTAGTACTATCCACACACCCATTTTTACTTATCACTCAATCCTCTCAATTTTCGGCCATTGGATCGAATGAATTGAAGAAGATCAATGGCCAAAAATTACAAGGATGTGTGGGAGGTAAAAAATGGGTGTGTGAATAGTACTATCCAAATTATATTAAGAAAGAAGAGAGCATGGACACCAGATAGATAATGGTACCTGATAAAGAACATATTTGATGGGCGGCTCAATCTTCATCTCCTCTTCATGTTCAAATAAATGAAGTTTCCACTGCAGGGAATAAAAAATATATAAACCGCTCAAACAGTTGAATGTAATGAAGAAATTGTAAAACTAATAACATTAGACAATGATTTGAGAAAACATAAATCTAAGAGTATTTAATTAGCAAAAATAATACACCATTGCATACTTACAGGGCAAAATCGATTCATAACCATGATTTCTCCACTAGGATCAACACTCCATCTTGCTAAGAGACACTCCATTACAATAGACCGTGCTGGTAACCATGATTTTGCATGAAAACGGACACTCTGAAATTGGAAAAAGGACCATTAAAAAGGGATGCTTAAAATAAATCCCCATAGCACACAACCTCAACAAAGCTTTAATCCCTTCTATTTGGTTATGTGCTCGATTCAAGAGAAATATAGTGCATAAGAATGTTAATGTGAATTTATTAGTGAAGAAGTAAAGAGAATATTCCATATTTCTGTTAAGTCTTAACAAAAGAAAGGCATACACTTAAAAACTCGCTGCCCGCCAGTTCCATTGCTCGTTGAAAGGCTTCATTCTCCTTTTCAGACGATTGATCGGGATCTATCCAATCCAAATTCAACCTGCCTACCCTTGAAGACAAGTGTGTATTATTCACATATCTTGGAGGCTGGTCAGTATCATACTGATTGATCCCATTGTCAACAGCATCAATTGCCTGTTACAAGTAATCACGGCAAAAATGGCATCCTTACAATGGTTTTGTTCTAATTTGTAACATAACAGGTTTTCAGCATCAACACATCCGTTCAATTTCAAGTTAAGTTAAAAACTTAAAGGTAGCACGGCCCCATTCTACTTTCACGTAGAATAAGAAGAAAAGATGCAGAATTTAGTAGTACCTCCATAAAGCTTTTGTACACAGCCAAGAATAACCTATGCACATCGAGGTGACCTTCATCGACCTGAAGCTCCTTCGCTATTATTTCCTTCCCGAAATGCTTCAAACAGATTTGTACACAAGAATAGTTACGCATTTGCAAATCCCATTACTTAAATCCCTAAAAAGATATGACCTTTTGAAGCACATACCTTGTAAACCAGACCAGCACTACTCAGCTTAGTCTTAAACCCATGCCCAAAAACCTCCTCGAAACCCTTCTGGTGATGATCGTATCGATCCCGACTAGGATCATACACACCCCCAACATCAAGCACAGCATCCAGACCCTCCAAAACCTAAAACCCTCAAACAAACAATAACAACGACAATAAGAAATCACAAATTGGTTTCAAATTTCAACCAAGTAACTTCATTTATCACCGATTTTCTCGGGAAAGTGGAAAAGGGATGAAAAAAAAAAACCTTGGGGTCGCGGGTGCGGACGATTTCGGCGTTGGAGAACTTGTCGGTTAGGCGAATCATGAAGCAGCCGAGGGCTTCGTCGCAGTGGAAGCTACCGTTGTGGGTCCCGACTCGCTTAGCTGAAGTGGTGGCGGCCATGAGAGAGCGGGAGAGGTGCAGATGTAGGCGGTGGTAGTGGGCGGGGAAGGCGATAGGGAATGTGTGCTTAAACCCCCTGCCTACTAGCGGAAGCATGCCTTAGCGGGGAATTCAACAGTCCGGAGTTATTTCTACTATTTTAATTATTAATTTTACCATTAACTTCTTAACAATATATTGAGAAATGCTAAGAGTCAAAATGTCCACATCACGCAAGTGATCATTTACCGCAGCAGTAGAAAGGTATTGTATACATGCATAATGGTGTGGTTTCAAACTCTAACCGATGATTAATATAATATATAACTTATTAAAGTTATCGTTCAACTCAAAAAATAAAAAATAAATAAATGTCCATATCGGTAATAACAATAAAAAAGACAGTATTAGTGTTTTCTAATCAAAATGCCAATATGCTAGGAAGGGTGGACGAGCTTCAAATAATTTTAATTAATTATAAAATATTTTTATTGGTTTAAACATTTATTATAATTAATTGTTGATTGTGTGCCCGTTGCAATTTGTCTTCTATCCTATCTTTTTAATTTTCATGTCAACATTACAAAATATTGAGCCAAATAAAAACTCTTAATCACTTGCGTTTCAAGACCCTTGCCTTCTCCAATTTCAAATTAGGATTTTTTTTATGGATAGTGTTAACTTTAACGAAAAATCATATTTTTACACTAAAAAGTTAATTCTGATACTATTCACTTTACCATTTATTTTGTCCTTATCGTTGAAATTCAAAGTTTTTAAGCATTTTTTATTAGTGTTTTTTTTTATTATTAAACATGAAAAGTTTGGGGTGAGTGGTGAGTGGTGAGTGGTGAGTACTTGCGCAAACAAAACATGAAATCGGATAAACAAAATCCTCCAAAACTCCACCATGCCTTTAACCATCAAGCTCACTTGGGCTCCCTCCACAAACCGGGCTCCCTCCACAAACCCCCACGTCTCATCTCCTCCCACCAAAACTCCACGCACCATCAGAATCCTCCTCTGCAGTCTTCCCCCGAGCTTCTCCTCCTTCCCCACCTCATCGACCCCTCATAGCAAAATGTACGACTGGCGGCGGCGCTGGAGAGGGCGGCGGCCTGAAGAAGGCACTGAGTGGCATTGTGGGAGAGCAAGTGGAGGAGCTCCTGAAAAGAGAAGAGAACAGGGAGTTGCTCGATGGGTTGGAAAAGGCGTCTCAGAGGGTTGAGAATGCCAAGAGAGAGCTGGCTGAGATTGAAAGGCAGGAACTTGAGGCCAAGCTTGTGAGGGATTACATTACCCAACTTGAAAGCAGAGCTTCTGAGGTTCTCCCTCTTACCAATTCCCAATTTTTGTGGGTTTCCTGAATTGGGTTTTTGTTTTAGGTGCCTTATTATATTTCCTCGAAGTTATTCGATTGAGAATTGTTAGAAGTTATTCGATTGAGAATTGTTAGTAGCGCTTCAAAATAATCATCGTGCACTCTGTCTGCCTTATCTTACTATTGGGGATGACTATTTTGGAGTGTTGATATCAGCTCCCACTCGGTTGTTTGTTTAATTTGTAAGTGAAAATGGTCAGTTTAATTGTTGAAAACATTGATTTGTCCTTTGATTCTGTTGAGTTGTTAAGACCTTTTTGTTTTTTACTCTAACTTTTGTTCAAAGACAATGACAATTGACGTGTTATATGTTGTTGGGCATCTGTTCCTGCTAAGATTGTTAGCTGTGTTTGCATTGAAGATTGCAGAATGTCAAAAGGAGATATCAGAAGCGAAATCCATGGTTGAAGAAGCCGAACGTGCCCTCTCACAAGACGGGGATCAACTCGGAGACGGATATGCTTCTGCAGAGACCGAAAATAAGGAGATAGACAAGGATAAAGAGAGATGGCAATCGATCAAGGCAGCTTCAGTTTCCGCCCTTGTCGGCACCGTTGCCGGATTGCCCTTCTCCTTCACTCAAGTAGCAAGCATTTCTGAGCTGATCCTCCCTCTGGGAGTCACCTTCGCTAGCTGCGCTCTATTTGGAGTCACGTTTCGATACACATTACGTAGAGACTTTGACAACGTTCAACTCAAGACCGGAGCGCCTGCAGCCTTCGGTGTTGTCAAAGGGCTTGCTACACTGGATGGTGGAAAGCCTTTGGAACTGAATGCTGGTAGCTTCTTATCACATGCTTTTGATGGAGCGATTTACGTATCTCAGAGTCTTTTTGTTTTTCTTTCTGCTGCTGTTGCTCTGGATTATTGTTTTAAGACGGGGCTCTTGAGTCCCTTTCCTATCAAGAAATCTGTACGGGGATCCAATTAACCAAAAGATGTACATACTTACGAGAGACACGATACTTTGAGCGTTACTTAAGATGTCGATGATAAATAAAATGATTATTTCATGATCTTGTACTTCATCTTCATCTCTCATTTCCTAAAACAAAATAACTTAATCGATAAACAAACCATGGCGCCTTGCCCGCCAGTGTCGGTAAAGAAAAGGCACCTAGACTCTCCATCATGTGAACTCATCTTCGTCATTAGGATGTTCTAATTCATATCAGTGTGCAGCTAGTGATATCGGACTACATTTCTTGTATGGTATCTCTCGACGCTTCCTCATGCGCTGAGCTTGTAGTTGCGGCTGTCTTTATTTTAGTAAAAGATGACTGTCTAACATTCATGATACTTCGTAAGGCACAAGGCTGCGTTCTGAAATTCAAGTTGCTTGCATCAAACTCTGACCTTCTACTGTTTCCTTCTTTCATTTTCCTCTTCATTCGAGCGCTCACGATCTTTTAAGGGCCTCTTGGGAACTCCCTAATCATCGATCTCATTTCTCGATTGTTCATCACTGGATGGAAGGTTCTTATTTCCTCTTTTCTTCCCCTGCAGATGACGTAAAACCGATTAAGCATGTGTCCAACATGGGTACAATCTACCTACAATTTTCAAAACTGCTATGGAACTTAAGTAGTTAATACCACCTCAGAGGTTCCTTGATACCCACTCCGATGATCTTTCCTACTAGTTGTTGACGAGAGATGCTTTGCAGCCTCATTAAAGAATTGAAAGCCCTGAAGATCTCCATTTTTAATACTTGTTTCCAGCTGCAAGGGGGAAAATGTGGAATCGCAGAGAATACGGTTACATGATGTGCAAACAATTGAAAGAACTCGCAATCAAAATGCCTCAAAACCATTAGTCTAGGAACTCTAGAGCTTGCCCAACAACATAATATTACACGACAGCATACGGTTCCATCCATGTTGCCTAGCAATATATTTCTTTTCCATTCTGTAACATTTCACCGTTATTTGAAAAGGATCCGTTAAGAGACTCAAACATACCACTCTATTGAACCCCAACAAGCCATAAAGGTTGAACCGGGTAGAAAGAATAGTCGCGAACTTATACCTGGACATGAATAATGCAGAAAACGATGCTAGCAATGGGCAGCCAGCTCTCCTCAGGTGACAACGACAAATTCGTCCTAACAAATCACGGGCAAGTCACATTAGTGCCCAGAATCACAGATACAGATAACCAGAACAGAAGCATAAGCTCAACAGTTTGTTGATCATTGGTATGACAGATTTTCCTCATTTGTCGAAAACTGAAAACGATAAGCACACAAGTATGCAATGCAACTGCTCAATTAATCAACACCAGAGTATGCAAATACAATGCAAGCATTCAATCAAGAGTATGAGAGTCAAACCTCAGGTAGGGAACCAAGTACACAAGCGCATACACCGCATACCGCCGTTTTCCGGTATCCAACCAAGCAAAAATCCAACTCTACAATTATTCAGTCCAACCCAACAAAAATTAAAACAAACCCAACAAACAAATTCATATAAATAATCAAAAAGTTCAAGAATTTGAAAGAAAAATGGGTTTTTTGTATGTTTTTTTTACCAGCCAATTGAAGTAGGGAATGAAGCTGATGACGCCCATGACGGCGAACCTGGCATCGGTGGAATCCATTGCCGAACCGCCTTCGGCATCGTCATCGGGAGTGCTGGCGGGAAGCACCAGCGACGAGAGCATGCAGGCGCCAATGGCGGCGACGAACGGCGCGTCGTTTGAGAACTCCGCTCTGCAGGGTCTGTAGCCGGTGAGCTTTTTGTTCTTCTTACTGTTTGGGTGTTTGCTGGCGGAGAGGAGAGAGGGTCTGAGGCTGGAGAGCTGAGGAGGAAGCGGCCGCGGCGGTTTAAGAGAGTGGAGAGTGGAGGAGCAGTGGATTGCGGCCATGGCTTTGGCTTTAGCATCTGCCACTATACTCCACCGCCAATGTAATCTCGGCACAGCTGAATGGCGGCCGCCTCCAGTCTCGCGCGTTTCAAACTACACGTCGTTTAGTTTGACTGACCACAATAATAATAGGTAGTGCTGCCTACACATTCATTTTGACTTTTTATAATCTCTGTCAATTCACGGTCGTCAAATTAAATGAATTGAAAAAGATTAACGGCAAAAAATTAACAAGAATGGGTAAAAGATAAAAACGAGTGCTTGAGTGGCAGTGCTATCATGATAACAACGTCTCAATCTAATTAGTTTGTGTTTTAACCTTCTCATGTGCTAAACTTGATTTTTATGTTATAAATCAGTTGGGTGAATTGTCAATTTAGTTCCTGAATTATTATCTTAATGAATATTAGATCTCTAAACTATTTTTTCAAAAAAAATCAATCCTTGAATTATAAAAATATGCCGATTACATCGTTAATATTATATTTAAAGCTACTATATTCAATTTTTCATCAATTTAAGTCACATTACTTGCAGGTGATACACATTGGAAGGTAAATTTGTAGTTTTTCATAAAAAATAGTGTATCGAGTTAACTTTATATGGTTATTTGATAATTTTTCATAAAGAAATAATGTAAGTTAACTTTTGAAGGTAAATTAGACGTTAAATTCGCAACTTATATGAAATGTTAAGGGCTTATAGGCGAGAAAATGACGGTATTACACTCTAAAGTGTGTCAAGTGACTTAAGTTGACGAAAAATTGGATAAAATAGCTTTGAATGTAATAGTAGGGATGAAATTAGCAATTTTCAATGAATTTGAGGACTTGTTTTACCGAAAAAATAATTCAGAGATCTAATTTTCATTAAGGTGATATTTCAGGGACTAAATCGGCACGTCACCCTAAATCAGTTTAAACATAGCTTGAACTTGCATCTTGTTTGACTATACATACTCATTATTTATTATTATTATTATTTTTTTTTTTTTGAGTTTAGCAATAACGTTGGTATGTTAAGTTTAATTGTTAGGGAGGAAGGAAAGTCGATTTGAATCGAACCCGTACCAAGGTGCATAGACCTGAGATACCCTGAGAGAGTTTCCTTAATTCTCCATATTTTCAAGTTAAATTAGCTAAAAATCTATGAATTAGAATTTAACTCATCTCGACGGTAAATATTATTTTAATACATGAATTATTTTGATTCTTTGTAAAATTTCTAACCCTATCACTCCTTGTCAAGGAAGAAAATATCAGTAATATCGGAAATATCGGTAGTCCGAAAACACGGAAATATCGATGGAAATATCGGTAAAATATCGATATCGATAAAAATTACATGGAAACCACGGAAATTGTAAGAAAAACTTGGAAATTTTTATTGAAACTTTGTAGGATGTTTATTTAGTCAATTATCTATTAGTTTATCACAAAAAATTGGAAAGAAATGCATTGCATGATGGATTTAACATTATCAAGTTGATTATATAGCGAGCTGACAAACATTGTGAGTGTAGAAAATATGTAGTAATTAATGAAAGAAGTCTAAACACACCATAATCATTTATATATAATGAATTAGTACAATATTTTACACTTTAGTACCACATAGAGTTTCTATGAGGTTCAAATTTTTCACTATCTTCATCATCTCTAAGTGTAGAATGAGTGTATTGTGAAGAGTAGTTATCAAATGATAAATCCCCAAAATAGTTTTGCATGTAATTGTTAACATGACACTCATATGGATCCGAGATTGGTTGAGGTTGTCCATAAGAAAAATCATTTGAAGATTGAGTCTGGGATTGTTTCCATGAGTCGCTCGATTCCATCCCAACAGGAATGGGATATGAAGGGTAGGGAAATGGTTGGTTATGAGTATAACCATAGTTATTACTTCCCAATCCAACAGAGTCTGAAGTTCTAGATAACGAGTCATCTTCTTGACTTGACAAAATCCCTTTGCCTCTTCTCTGCGAGTACAGTCCTTCCCTATGGCACCAATTCCTGGTCCTGCCCGCCTACTGCCATGGTCATCATCCTGTGTTGCATGCGTGAAGTTTGCCTCACCAGTGAAGGGGCTCATATATCCGGGAGGTGGTGGTCTATAATAGTTTCCATATCCACTACCACTACCTCCAGCTCCACTATGTCCTTCATCATTCCCACCTCCGGTGGTAGGTGAGTCTCCTGATCTTGTACTAGAGCTATCATTAGTATCAGCACGATGTTGTGGTTGTGTATGATTGGAAGAAGGTGGAATTCCAGTGTTTCTTGGTCTTGGGCGCAAAAGCTCTTCCAAAGAGTCAGCGCTGCTAGATCTCACCTCCTCCTCTAATACTCTTTCTACATTTATCCCTTCATTACGTGCTTCTTCAGCAACTCTGGGAGCTGGGTTGCCTTCATCATCATCTAAATGAAGAGGTTTAATCCATTGAAAAAGTTGGTTACCCTCTGTATCATCATCTTCACTAACAATATCAAACACATCTAGTGGGTCCCCACGGTCGACATGATCTATTTCTGCTTCCTTATCTCGAATTTGAAGTTTCATGTTGTAGTAGCAATAAACTAATTTTTCCAAGCTACTATGAGCCAACTTATTTCTTTGCTTTGTGTGTATGAGTGCAAATGTGCTCCAATTTCTTTCACAAGCAGATGAGGAAGCTGTTTGTGATAATACTTTGATTGCTAACTTTCTCACAGTTGGTGCATCGGTCCCATACATGATCCACCATTCAGCTACAATGAAAAACAATGTTGATAAGCCTAATAACTCTAACAAATTCTATTATAAACTTATAGTGAAATATGTTTAAACTCACTAGGAGACATATTTGTTCGAGCAGCAACTGATGTTGGTTCTCCAAAAGTTCTTCTTGCATCTTTAAACCATGTTAGCTGAATTCAATAAATCGTGTTAGTTTAATCCAACAAAGTAATTATTATAATTTAAGTAATTGTCTACCTCATTTCCAAATTGGCCAACTGCTGGTGATGCAGGGTCTAATTTAGAGTATACATTATGTACAACACGTATAAGGTTACCATCATCTCCAACACCGGGTCTGTATTGGTATCGGGGATTCAAATAATATGCTGTTCAAAGAAACACATACTCTAATAAGAGAAATAATACTTATGCAACTAAAGAAACAAATTGTAAATTATGACATAATTTATACCTGCTGCATGCAAATCGTGGTATAATGTTTTATACCATCGGTCTTCAATTATCTTTATGACCCACCTTGCACCATGTTTTCTTTCCAATTCATCCTTCACTACACGCATCAACTCATATACTGCCCCCATAGTAGGATACACCTCTGTGTCAACGATCCGTAAAACTTTGTAAAGAGGTTCAAACACTTGGCACACATGTTCTGATTGAGTCCAAAAAGCATGATCAAGCACTATACTTTCCACCATACGACCTGTATTTGAGCGGCTCAAATTGTGGTTGGCCCAATCGTCACTAGTGAATAGTTGCTTCAACCCTGCTTTCTTCTTGAGTATGCTGTCTAATGCAATATAGTTGGTGGCGAATCGAGTGGTAGCTGGACGAATAATTTCTCCTTTGCAAAATTCACGCATCTTTGCCAACAACCAACCGTGATTGTAAATATAATTTGTGATCATTCTAGCTCTTTTGACCACAGTAGCAACATTCTCTATCTTCCCCATTGCCTCAAACATGAGATCAATACAATGTGCTGCACATGATGTCCAAAACACATTATGATGCTTCATTAACTTTTTTCCAGCTTTGACAAATGCAGAACCGTTGTCGGTCACGACTTGGACAACATTATGCTCTCCCACCTCCATGATTACATCCCTCAATAATTTGTAAATATACTTGTAATTCTTTATATGGTCTGAAGCATCAACAGACTTCAAAAAAATTGTCTTTCCCTTGGAGTATACCATGAAGTTGATGATAGACAATCTGGTCGGGCCGGTCCAACCGTCACACATGATTGTGCAACCATTAGTTTCCCACTTTGACCTTAACTTGTTAACATACTCGCCAATGTCTTTATACTCCATATCCAAATATTTGTTTCTTATCTCATAGGGAGTGGGAGGTTGTACTCCAACACCGGCATGTTGACATCCCACTACCATATTTTTGAAATGATGTGATGATGCCTTTGCAGCAGGGACATTTTCATAGATAAAGAACTTGCTAATTAGACGCCCCATTCCCTCCTTCACATTACCTCCAGTGAAATAACTCTAAACACTCTTTTGACGTGCTTTGGATGACTTATATAAACTTGGGGCTATTGGTGGTGTTGGTTGTGATTCTCTAAGACTACCTCCCCGTCTCATTTGTGCACCACCACTTGTCCCGGAACCTTGTGCTCTATTAGGAATTTTATGAAGGTGTTCTCTTTCCCATGCTGACTGTTTAGAGGCACGTAATGCTTGTTTCAAACTGCGTCGTTCTTCAGGTCCCATGTCATCATCACATTCGTCCTCATCGTCATCATCATCACTGTCAAGCTCTTGGCCATAGACTTCTCCCCGTAGCCCAGCTCGAATATGTTCCATTCCCTGTGTTATCTTTTCCTTCTGCTGTTTTTTATTTTTTAATAATGTGCTGATGAATGCCTTCACTTATGGGGGGACATTATCGCATCGTTGGACATTTTTTGCTGGATCTAATCCACTAAGATGGTACTTAAGTCGTGTCACTCTGCCACTCTTCATTACCCGACCACAATATTTGCAAATTGTGCCATGTTTGTTTCCGTCTATTGGGTATCCATGTTCCCAAGCTGGATCACGTTTAGTAGCTCCACTGGACATCATAAATGTACCTACATTTATTTTTCATGAAAATTAGACAAATATTTTTTGGCCAAAAAATATAGTAGTGATGACGGTTATATAAGAGAACCTAAATAATAAAGTTATTCTACATAAGAATTAAATATGAAGTAAAGAAAATGATTGTAAAAATTTAAGTAATTAAAAAAATATATGGAATAATAAAACCTAATATTAATGAATAATAATCCAATTTGATAAAAAAATAATCCTAATATAAATGATGAATAATATTCCTTTTTGATAATAATCCTACTA